TCTATTATAAACGAAAAGGCACCACTTAGCCTTCCCACAATTACTCAGCAATAGACACTGACTTTACACCTTTCGGGAGCTGATTGCATACCCGAAAATTTGGAGTCAAGGAAGGAAAATTTCAAATGCCCTCTGGTGTCAAAAAGAAGAAAACATGTTTAGTTACTCCTGTCAAAGTCATTAAGATTCCACCTACAGAGTGAGATTTGGCAGATGTTGGTACCCTATTCAAAGCAGTGGTCCACTAGCTTTTGGTAATGAATATGTAACTTGAGTGCGGCGGCTGTTCACTGGTCCTGTCCTCACCCCAAAATATGCTCAGACAACAGTATTTTCACTTCATTTATTTCTTCAAAACAAATCACTTCATACAGCATTAGGTATTTAAAATCACACACCTCATAAATAAAATCACTTCATCTCAATGACAATGGCAAAACCACACAAAGTTGTACAAAATGAAATCAGACATTTTCCAGGTGGCAGCAGTGCATTAACTGTGAAAAAGATGCTGGCAAATAGACAAAAGAACACTTTTAAAACAAGAAAACACTGTCCATCTTAATGAAGAAAAATAGGCCAAGAAACAGAACTTCCTTCTGTTTTGTCCTTACCTGCTACTTTTTCAAGTCATGTTCTAAGCTCTAAATTTGACAACCCAGGCTTTCCTTCTTGCTTCAGGAAATCTCCACCTCGCCTCCACTCCATCAAGGAGTGGAGGAAAGAGAGGCCTACTGTCATTCTCTATCCCTTTTAACAAACTTCTATATATTTATTCTGCATTTTAAGTTGAGTTCAATACTTCTTTAAAGGGAAAAGATTACTCTTTGCTAAGGAAATTATATGTCCTGTAAACAGCTTGAGTCATGAATGGCACCAAGGTGAACTGGAAACCTGACAAGAATTAGGTGCCCTGGTCCTTTTAAGTAACTTATGGGTTACAGCTTACCGCATATCCTATACCAGGTCTAAGATCGGGCTCATGTAATCTTAGTAGAAATTCTCAACCTTTCTTAGGTTAACCTGTTACCTACAACTTAACCAAATCATATCTTCACATCCCTAAGCTCCCAGATGTGGGTATTTTTAAAAGACAAGTATAAAAAGGCATCACAGCAAAATGCTTCTATTCATGGTTTATACATTAATGACAAGCTTCTTCAGTTATGGCCCTGCTACATTCTATGCCAAGAAATGGGTGAGGGTTAGGAGGACACAATGCATTGCTTGAAAAATTTTTCAAAAAGCGTTATTCATGACTAAGGAATGTATCCAACAGAGCATCTCTTCTGTTTAAGTGGTACTTTATCCCCTTTTCTCTTCAATCTCAAATAGCAATCTCCTTTAAATTCATATGGACCAAGACCTAAATCAGCACCCCACAACTCAGTATCAATGCAACAATTTCTTCAAAGTCAAATATTCAAAGCACTGTAAACAAAATGCCAGCTAATTTTTGGAAAAGAAAAAAACAAATAAAACCCTTTCCCACAATTGGGCAAGTTTTATAGTCTACGTTGAATTAAATGTATTGAAATATTGTAACTCTTAGTGAGAAAACATCTTTAATGAACTAGCTTATTCAAATCAAGTGTTTCACTTTAGACTTAAAAATGACACTTTTAAGACTAAGAAATCAGCTCCCTTAAAGTAAGTTTGCCTAGAAACAAATGAAGAGTTTTAAGAATCTGATCTTTTCCAAATTGGTATAGTCACCTTTGTGCTACAAGGACAAATTTGAATACTGCACTGTACAATGAATGAGAAAGAATAATATTATAGAAACAGGTAACTTTTTGAATGCTAGGGCACAGAGCATGCCCCTAAGTTACTGAAATCAAGTTCCACTGTTATCAAAAACCAGAATGTTGTACCACTGGTTACACTATACATTGATGGCAATTGTTGATTAAGAAGAGCTGATTGTTAGCAGCTCAAGAATTATATTTTAATGCCTTTAGCAAGATCCCTGGAGAGGGCTAACATGTAAACTTTTACTTCATTTTTTTTAAAGTGCTGCAAATAATAACAAACGTGTGTCTTAACACATGAAAGCACATAAATCTTAATATATGAAAGTTTAAGAAGGCCACCTGATCCATAAAGAAAACAATTATTCTAATTTTACATACTCCTCATTCTAACTTTTTCAAAAAAGACACAGAAAACTATGTTTAGCTAGGGCAACTTGCAACATATATGTTTTAATGCCTACACAGGATAGAAAGCATATGCTAGATAAGCAAGTTGGGCATGGGCACTTAGGGGCATTTATAGAGAGATAACACATTAATGCATTCCTGATAATGACTTTGCTGGGGCTTGAACTTCATGGAATAATCAACTGGCATGATTGTATTAGTTTTTGCAACAGGGTCAAGCTGACCAGCAGCCAAACTTTCAAGGGTACCCCTCGACTACGCTCATTTTTCATGGAAATAATAATATTAATAACATTTCATGGGAAATAATTAAGAAATCAACTAGGAACGATTACAAAAGATGTACCACACTGATGTCCTTATATGGCTATCACATCACAAAATTACCAGGGATAGTAATTTTAACCTCTGAAAACATTCTATCTAGAAGTGCATCGTCACCGCCCTACACCGGATCTCTAAATCCAAAGAAGAGTAAGGGAAAGAAGAATAAGAGAAAAGAGGGTGGGGGACAGGAAAGCGCAATCTTCATTCATTCAGCCACTAATGTAAACTCTCCTCATTTGAATTAAAAAACTATTCTTGTATGGCACTCAAAAATGGAATAAATAGGAAGAAGGGTTTCATTCTGCTCAAGTGCAAATTTAAGAAAAAGTTTTGATCCTGTTGCAAGTACTAACTCCATAGTTTTCAAAATTCTGAAGATTAGAATTTACACACATTAATAAACTAATTTCAAGACTTTAATAAGTGCAGTAAAAAAACCTTTAGATTCTGTGAGGTTTACAAGCTTGAGTTTAGAAAGAGCACAAGTTTAGGTTTTGAATCCTCAATAACTAAATCAAATTGTCTGCAAATAATGCATCATCTTGGATTTTCCATGATCAGAACATTCAAGTCCTAGTGCTGAATTTCAGCAACTGATTAACTTATAACTTATTACTGAGAGCCATTTGACTGAGTTATCGGTGTCCAGTTGGTGACATGGACAACCCAGGTAACAAGTAAAATAGAGTAAGATCCCCGGAATAAATACTTGACACTTGCTAAGAAGTATAAGCTTAAATATGGGAACAAGAACACTGAAAATGAAGGGGTTTAATTTTATAAAATATCAGGTTCTATTTCTATTTGTTAAATTAATCCGATGTAGGTAAAATATACTTAATTTTAAAGTGACAGAAATTTATGTTGGAAAACATATCAATACCTGCTTGGTACATTGTAAATTACCCAATAAATATTTGTTGCATGAACAGACTTCTCTAAAATTCCAGTAAGCAAATGTCAAATTTGGTTCCTGAACTAGTTTTATGCATAATGACGTGTAAAGCTCAATTTGATGGATGCTACCCAGTGATATACTCTTAACTTCTAGTTTTAAATGTAATTATTTTCTGGGGGAAATAAGAGATACAAAAATCTTTAGACCGAAATGACAGCCAGGTACAAAGAGATCTTCAAACATATTCATTTGTATATATTATGATTGCCAAACATTAAGTATCGCAAGCTCACAAGTGCTATTTTTAAGGCTCAGTAAAATAGAAAATTAAACTCTTTTAAGTTACACTAACCATAACGTATAATGCCTAAAGCAGCTATTCACAAAATAGGTACTCAAGAAATGTCACCTAATGATTTCAAGCATACTTTGTGAATTCTTCCTTAAAGGAACTTGTCCACTAAATTGTTTACATGCTCCTTAATTTTATATGGTCACCTCCACCAAGTGAAAGTGCTAAAAGTAAATCTCAATTTTAAAACATTCGCCAAGATATGCTGAAAGAGAAGTGCTTTAAAGGATACCATTGGTTTTGTAAATGATACTTCATCAAAAAAAGAGACCAGATAACAAAACTTCACAACATTAAGCCTCTTCACATTTTGTGAGATAATACATAACAAATTATAATTTAGCATCCCTGATCTTCAGAAGAATTAAGAAAAGAGGTAGAAAACTTTTATCTGGAAGATCTGAGTGAAGCTAATTTTAGAGGGTGTGCCTTGCAGCTTAGCCCACCAAGCAAATGACAACACATCTAATATTAGGAAGAAGCAGAATTTCAAAAAAGCTGAATAAGGCAAGGATTTAAAAACTGTCATATTTTGGAAGTGAAACAAATTCATTCAATGTTATTATCCCAACTACTTTAAAACTCTTCAAAAGTCAAAGTAAAAGATTGTAGATAGGCAAAGTGCTAACTTGCAGAAACGTGAAATTATTCAAGAGCATTAGTGGCCAAATAAGGCTAGCATGGAAAAAAATACTGTTTAGGTAAACAAAAGATCTCACAAAAACCAAATCAAAGCACAGTATTATCATTTTAGATGAAGGCTGTTTTTTAGGAGTTGGAGAAAAAGCTGAGGAAGTTAATCCCTCCAGACAAATCTTTATGTAAAAAAACAAAAATCAGCACTCAAATTTCAAGAAACTTCAATTAAAAAAATAAATACCCTGCTTAATTTAAAATTTTTATCTAATGTGACAAACATCAATAAATGAGTTGCATTAAAACACGAGGCCAACGGTCTTTTAAAGCTTTAGTAAGCTGCTCAGGCACCTTTTCCCTCATACATTCTACTTTTATACACTAGAAATCCTAAATTGGGCACTATCAGTTCCTTAGGTAACATTCTCAAGGAACACACTCATCCCTGTAAAAATTGCTTGTAATGTACTTATAACTGGTTAAGTACACATTTATAAAGGCTACCAAATTGTAATATAAAATCGGTTTTGACAATTCTGAGTATCTTCATTTGAGGAATCAATTCAGAATTTAGAAACTATTAACTCAATCAGAGTTTTTAAAAGGACTCAATTATAGAGACATTGTGGTTTAAGTCCAGTGGCCTCTACTGAGGCCTTCCGCATTACTCAAAATACGAAGTTGTTTTCTTCTACAGGTAAATGCTGCTGGGTGCTAGTTTATAGTATTAAAATTCAAATCTTCAGGGTAATGTCAGTAGGTAGCAAGGACCACCTATTCTGTCACCCCAGCAGAGAAAGGGCATGTATCACCACTGTAGACACACATCTGTAAACTTGCACACTAATTTTAATCTTAACAAGGAATTTCAGGTCTTAGTGGCTTTAAGTTAAAAAGACGGTTCAAGCATTGTGTCCTTTTGTTCTTTAGGGTTATGAATAGCTTATTGGAAAACCCAGAGCCTTCTGGATCTGTGAGGTAGTAGGCGGCAATCCTCAACATGCATAGATCACACTTCTCCGAAGTTGGTATGGCCTGTCTCCTTGGCATGGTCCCTTGCTTCTGCTTGTCCAGTTAATCCCTTCTGACATACCATGCATCTCAGGGTGAAGCGGTTTACGTCAGTAAATTGTCTCTTTCTTCTAGCTTCATCTGCTAATTCCAGTGCTTGTACAAGAACGATATCATCATTAGAGGAGAAAATGGTCAGAGGCGGGGTGTCTGGGTCAGGGAAGTTACGCTGAAGCGGATCATAGTGGATGCCATCATATATTAGCAGGACCCTTTTGGTATATCCTGCATCTTCCCCAAAACGATCAATTCTTACTGTCTGTGTATCCACTACACATATTTCACACTGATAAAATTTAGACAAAATTGATATCTCAATAGCTCCTCCCCAAGTATCATCCCTTTTGATCCAGTCACAGTACTCTTGATTTGTTTTTCCCAGGATTGCCTCACTATAGAAGTCTGGATCACTTGCTACAATTTGTGCTATGAGGCGTCTCATCTCAGGGGCACAAGCTGGATTCAAGACTCCTCCTTCTACAACATAGTATACACTGGTAAAGAGGCAAGAGTTGTCTGCTGGGACCACAGTTCTGCTAAGCACAGGCAAAGTTTCCCTGACATAACTAGGAGCACCATGTTTTGTAAATGCAGGTGAAGTTTTGGGCCTGGTTTGGTCTTCTTCAACGATCAGCATGTCGCCTGTTAAAAATAAAACAAATCCAGAACTGCAGAGAAATTACAGATGAAATTGGTTGTTCACTAGCCAAGTTTGTAAATTACAGAGGAGTTGAAGTATAAACTGGGTTACTAGGGAGAATAAAGCTTTGCAAACAGGCAACCAGTAACACTTCTTGTTCACTCAATCTCCAAAACGGAACAAAGAAGAAAAACATTTTAGGCTGCATACCAATTTAGTGAAGGATCCCTGGTTATACACCTTTATACTTAACTTAAAAAGATACATTTCAAGAACAAAATTTCCTCTCTGCATTTTAAAAGCACCAATCTTCCAAAAAGTGTTTACCCTAGACTAGACCACTAGGGGGTTCTCGTTCTTCTGAAACTTAACATATCCACCCTGTTTAGTGTTTACAGGATCCTTGATACAACAGCTGAAAGCTTTTAATGATCAATATTGCTGTTCAAGTTTTAATATTGGACAGAAATAACTGCAATTGTTTAGAATCTGAAAGGGCCTCCAGTAGATGTGTAAAACCATACTCTAAAATGAGTATACCTATTTATCTTAAGTATATGAGAAGGTGACTGCAAAAACCAACTGGGGAAGCAAAAAAGAAAAGTGTCCTGAATCCTTCAGACCTGCTATCTTCTTTCAGGTTATAGGGGAAAGAGCCACCAGGACAGAAAAAATAGATCTTATTTTTTTAGACTTTTGTGGATGCAGAAGGAAAACAAAATGAATGAGACATTTTCAAGGTAGGCTAGGAAACAAACTGAGGAAGGGGGTACTCCGAGGCTTTGGGCTTCTCATATAGGTTGCGCCCTCCCTCTCTCTTTCAACCATATATAAAATCGAGGAGTTGCTAGCCCACACTTGCCCCGGTCTCCGTCAGAGTTCTCCCTTCTTTAACCTATCCTTATCCCCGTTCTCAAACCCCCCAACGGACCCACAGACCAGTTCTCTGTTCTCCCCCACGCCCCTCTCCGTCCTTCCTCCCAGGGCCTTCCCTGGTCCCAGGCTCAATTCCCTCACCTGACTGGATGGGCAAATCCCCAAGAATGGTATCCTCGTTGCTGAGATCCAGGCATTCGGGCGGGTATCCGACGAGGATTCGCTGACAGCCGGGGGCGATCCCGGTGATGGCGGCAATTTGGCCCTGGAGTTCCCGCACTCGGGTTCGGCTAGACAACCCCTGCAAAACATGGGTGCCATCCTTGGCCTTGCAGCGGAGCCGCCACATCGTGTCGGTCCAGCTGCCCACAGGCCAGACACCCGTGGGGCCAGCTTTGGTCCCGGCAGCAGGTCGGCGGACGCCGCCGGGGCAACCAGCCGCCGGATGGACTCCAAAATGGCCACCCTTTGCCGGACCAAACATCGCGAGAAATCGCTGGTGGCCACAGATCTCGCGATACTTTCTTGCAGCGTAAGCTTTAGCACTTTAAGAAGCGCGAACTCTCAACTAACTCATTGCGGCCAACCCCGGGGAGCCAAAGGATGAAGATTTATCCGTATTCTTAAAGTACAAGTGGCTTTGCTACCTGTAGAGTGAGTGAGGTGCCTTGTGCTTTGGCAGCATATATGCTCAAGGAAAGAGGGCGGAGGAAGGAGTTCCTGAATCGGGTACATCGGAATGTAACCTTGCAGTTAGTGCGGTCGGAAATTATTAAATTGGAGCTTCCCAACTACACCGTGAGAAAGGGAGTCATAGTTCAGAACGCAAACGAATGCCAAGAATGGTCAGTGAGTCAAAAGACCTGTCAAAAACAAGCAGACACTCGTGACTAGGAATCATGGCTGCAGCAAACATTGACTCATTGAGGTTAAGGAAGCCGGACTGGCCTTGCCACCTCGACGCTGTAACTTGAAAACGTCCATTTGCCACATCAGAAAGCGCAGTATGAGGTCAGCATCTGGGCCTAGGGCAATTGGGCTACATTTGGGTGGTAGCCGTATAAGGAGGAGGAAAGAAGAGGACTAATGTGTGTCATCCGGATTCCAGTTCAGGCCCTGGGCTTAATATGAAGACGACTCCATTCCTGCCTTCAGTATTACAAGTACTGTCATGGGGAGAGAGGGTGGAGTGTAAAAGGTACATAACCATTGAATTTCACAGCCACGTGATAATGCTAGATTATGTGACCTTTTCCAACCCTGTATCCCTTAGAACCAAGGACTGTGCCTCAAATAAGTGCTCAATAAATACCTGCTGAATGGATAAGGGCAGTTGTACTGGTGCAGATAAAGCAACCATAACATACACACTGGGAGTTGTAAAAAGCTTCAAAAAGGAGATACTAGTTGAGCTGTTTTGAAAGATGAATTTAATCCTCAGGTGAAGGAGGAATAAAGACATCTCTGAATTTATCTCTTTTCCAAGAAATCCACATTCCTTGTTCTTTTTACATCCTGGATCCGAAGCAGCACGCCTGCGTAGAGTGGGTTTATGAACAGCATCAAGCATCATCAGAAGGACCTGGGGGCAACTGTGAAAAGTTCGCTCGAAATACGCAAACTCACCTCTACTATATAAAAGCCTCTCTCTACCTCTAAGTTATATGGAAGCTTTGCCTCTTTTGCCCCCTTTTGTGACCCGATTTTTTGCTGAAGCAATTTTCCTTTTCTGGTTTTTCAAGGAGACCAGAACAGATGGTATAGCGTAGGAGGTAGAGGAAGAATAAAGGCGATAATTAGAAGACCACTGGAGTATGTGGATGTGTCCAGGGAAGTTCCCGGTTCAGCAGTAAGAGTAGTTGATTTTCTTACGTTACAGTGTCTGGCCAATGGCAAGGAGATGCAAACACCCTAAGGTGTAATCAGCTCAAGTACGGTGGTATCTTACTTTAGCAAAGCACTGCCTTCTAAAGTTTACGTTCCAATTTATGGATCTAACGAGGTCCCTCTGGGATTCAGGGAGGAAAGCGTTAACCTCCACAACGTTTTCCCGTCACCAAAAAGTCACATCCCCTCAAGACGTGTTTCATCCACTCTCGCGAGAGTATGAAAAAACGCCATGCATTTCATTAGCCCCGCCCCCAGCCCTATGAGTTGCCTAGCAACGATGCAACCAACCTCCACAGTGCGAGGAAACTTGGGAGCTTGTGATCTTTCGGCTTCACAGTTTCTTCCACCTTCGGGAGTCAGCGTCTGCGATTCCGATTTGAGCCCCGCCCCAGGGAGCCTGCGGGCGCTGGATTGGCCGATGATTCTTTCCAGGTGAGGACCGACGCCAGTGTGGCGGAGCCTGACGGGGCCACGTGATTTGCCGGCTACTGGTGTGCCGGGCCCGGGCCACGGTGTGTCAGCTCCCGTCCGCAGCCTAACGGGACAAGTACCGGGGCCACTCCCGGGAGGGAGCTTAGGAGGGATCATAGGGTGAGCGGTGGCTGTACGACGCCTCGAAAGGCCGGGGCGGGCGGGAGAGGGCGGGGAGCTGCGTGCACCGGGATGAGGTGAGGGACGGTGATGCCTTGCAGTTTTCGGGGAAGTGCCGGCATTGCTGGGAGTGCAGACGTTCTGGGACCGGGAGCGGCGGCTGGTGCTTGGGTTGGAGGATTTGTGTGGTCAGTGGAAGAACAGTGCAAGGTCCTTGAAGCAGTAGGACCTTCGGTCCTCACGAGCCCCTTGTCTGGGTGTGGGGCGTGAGCGCGAGGGTATCCCACCCCGGTTCGAGTCAGGACTTCTTATTAAGCAGGTGACCTTGGGGAAGTCATTTACCACCTCTTGGCGCCCCATTACCCTTATAGACTGTGAACCAAGGGATGGATGGGAAGAGGGTGCAGAGCAAGGGCGTGAGAATGGGAACACCAGAGGAGAAATGGTGACGCGCTAGGGTCGTCACGGGGTCCAGTTACAGTTTTTCCTTCAGGAAACATGTTTGAGATTTCCCCCACTTCTCCCATTTTTGTCAGGAATAGATCCTGCCATTGGACTGCAATGACTGTATGATAAATGAACTCGATCTATTTGCAACCCATCTCACCCCCGACTTCGGCCATTACTCCCCAGTTTTTTAAACTAAAGTCTGAGGTCAGGAAGGAACTTGGATAAGCCACCTAATTTTATTAAACTTAGTTTTTCAACCTGTAAATTGGGGGAAAGTAACAATGGTGGCAAAATATGCCTTATGGAAGGATTATTAGAAGGATTGAAGGAGCTAATTTATGTGAATGTAACTTCTAAGTCAGCATTAAAAAGGCAAGATTCTAGTACAACTGAGTCTATAGATGAGGAAACAGGGCTAGGGAGGACTTACCAAAGAGCATGTAGCTATTAACCCAGAGCAAGAGGGCTGGACTGGACTCGGCCCAGGATTCTTTCACTTCTATTACACCTGTCCTCTTCCCTGGGTGTTTTGAGGTGTGTCTCCTTCCTTACATTCCTTTTGTCCCCTTCAGACATTTCCCGAAGAACTGCCATGTCTGGGAATACTGCATCTTCATCAGAACAGAACAGCTATGAAACCAAAGCCTCCAATCTTCGAATGTCAGAGAAGAAATGTTGTGAGTCTGGGGAAAGAGGAGGGGCTGCTCCCTCCCAGACTTTTATCTTGGGAATATAGTTGTAGTCCTAGACTTTGATGCTTGTTGGGAGTGAGAGAGAATTCTTTGACATGGGAATTTAAAACCAAGTCTACAAGGGGAATTTCTTGTGTGAAAAGGGTAGGCCCGGTGAAATGTCTATCACTGGGGCCAGACTGCTGGTATATCCCCACATTTTCTTACTGCTTTCTTTGACTGTCTCGTGGAGGGATTCCTGCACATTCGATTGATGTTGAAAGTTACCCACTCAGTGATTAAGGCAGAGTGGCAGGTGCAGGGATTACTTAGGGCTGATACTGTTAACAGTTTCCCTTCATTTTTTGGGCTACATTTTGTGAAGGTGCTGCTCCCTGCATAAATTGCAGTAAGAGCCAGTAGTAGTTCATTTCAGCAGGCCTGAGGGGGAGTCAGGTCTGACATCTGACCTCTCACTCGGGCACCCTGCTTTTCCACAGGGTTAGCCTTTGCACTTTGCAAGCTATTTTTCCTATAGGTTCATTCCCCCTGTGGGGACAGGTTTCACCAGAGCGTTTCCATGCCAGTTCTTTAGACAGAGATAGCAGGTGGGTTTGCCGAGAAATGAAGCATCATTTCTTCTCCCCTTGCATTTGCATTCCTAACCCTCATTGTAACCTTATGGGCAAAAGGTCCTGGGCAACTGGCCCTTACAATTTGGGGGGAACCTCAAGGAATGCTGACCCTTGCCCTTGCTTCCAGATGCACCTTTCCTCTGGAACCCTGTCAGTCAGTTCTCACTTCAGTGGTGGTCGTGTATATAGCAGGTGGAAACAGCCAACCAGCATGAGACCTGGAATCATGTCCTTTTCAAAGCTTTCCCCAGAGTCTTGACCTTGATGTTGTGTACTTGTCAGTCTCATGATTAATGATGATAATCTCTTTTTATCTAGCACTGATGAAGCTTGCTGAGCTTTGCACTGCAACAGAGGCAGCTTTTTGTATGTGATACGGGGGTTGGCACACCTGTATGATTAGGGTCTCCTTTCTCTGCCAGGGCAGGAAGCCAGGTACCGAGGGCAAGTACCCCATGGGAGATAACTAGTATAGCACGATGTTTGAGTGCAGCCCTTGGAGTCAGACTGCCCGAGTTTGAATCCTGGTTTTACTCCTTCCTAGCTGTGTGCCCTTGAATAAGTTGCTTATCCTCTCTGTGCCTTAGTTTGCTTATTTATAAAATGGGGATACTGATATTATCTTCCCCTAGAGCGATGTGAGAATTAAATGAGTAAATATAGGAAAACACTTAGAAGAGTGTTTATAGAGCTAAAGCGTATTATTATTTTTTTTTTTTGCTGGTGACTTTTCATTGCACATAAATTGAATTATACTGTAAATGGCTCTGCTGGGAGCTCACTATTTATAAGAGCCCTATGAAGAATTAGGTTTTCAGTAAAGAATGTTTTCTCCTCTTGCTTGGCAATATCATAGCCCAGATTTGGGAGCACTAAAGAGAGGTGCATTTGTGTTATTGGGACATTTGATCCAAAAGAGTACAGAGAGTAGGTGGCGACATGGGCTGCACAGTGCCCAGCGTCAGCTGTATTCTCCACAGAAACCTGCTCCGTGCCATTCAAACTCTTCTGCAGTTTTTCTGCGTTGAGGGCTCTCGATAGTCAAAGAGGCAGTAATCCCAGGTCTCCTTTCTATCCTCTAGACTCTAATTCCTGCTCCGCGCTCTGATTTCTCCTCTCCAAGCTCCACCCTCTTCTCCCCAACTGGGAGCATCTGGGGGGTGGAGGGAGAGGTTGTCCTGACTTCACCATCATTCATTTACCCCCTTCTCTTCTTCCCTCATGGGTTGGACTGCGAGACTCCTGCAGCCATAGTCAAAGGAGAAATACAGTCATGAAAATACATGTTTGTTTATTTACTTCTCTCCATTGCTTTCCTGTGTGTTGGAGCATGCTCCCCTGGCTGCTTAGTGCTCACACCCAGCAGTTGCTTTATTAATAGCTCAGCCGTTATCCCCTTGCTGCCAATTACACCTGTGTTGGCTGGCTTCACCCTGGGAAGTGCCTGAGCTGGAGGACTGGAGAAGGACTTCAGGGAGCCAAAACCTCCAAGGGAGCATTACTGGAACTTCAGCTGCTCCAGGGATGGGGGTGATGGGCAGTTGCTGGCCGAGGTGCCTGTAAGGTGCTCAGATGACTGGTTTCAGGGCATCTTAAAGGCACCTCAGGAATTAGGCAGGTGGGGACAGCAGTGAGTGTGTATATGCTTTTCTTTGTTTCTTTTCTTCTTTGAGATTTTGAGTAGGTCTGAAACAGACAAGTTCCCATGTGTACCTTTCCCCAGTTACAAAAGCAGTATGTGTTCATGAAAAATTCAAACAAAACAGAGAGAAAGTGAAAAGTGAAAAAATCTCTCACAATTTCTCCTGTTCCTGTTAAGTTTGATTCTTCCCGACATCTTCTGGTGTATTCTGTTAATGAAAATAGGTTCATACTGTACATATTCTATTCTGCTATTTTCCTTTTTTTTTTTTTCTTTTTAACTTACTATATTGTGGAGGAGTTTGTCTGTGTGTGTCTGTAAATCCAGATTTACCTCTTTCTGCATAGTATTGCATTCTAGGGATATGCCAGCCTCCCCCCTGGTGGACATTTGCCCTGTGTTTGGTTTTCCACCATCACAGACAATGCTGCAGGAGCATCCTTGCCCATATACCTTAGCATGTGCGTGCTAGCAATTTTTCCTACAGAAGTAATAGGAGGAAAGACACATTTGAAATGTTGATCAGCATTACTAATTTATTCTCCTAAATAGTTCTGTATTGTTAGCTATTTTTAATATTTCAAAGGGCATGAATGGAAGTTCTGTATTGTTAGCTATTTTTAATATTTCAGAGGGCTGCGCTGGTTCATTAAAACGTTAACTTTCTCAGTGTTTAGCCGCAGAACTTGGATATCTCATGCCTATCAAATAGCAGGAGATAATTAGCAGTTTTATGACTTCTCAAGAATGAAAAAAATAACAAGTGAAACACATTTTAATAGGTTGCATATTTTAAAAATATTGGGCCTATTTAGAACAAATAGTGGAAGAAGGCCTTGTTCATGAAAAGGCCGGGAACCACTGACCTACTAGACTACCTTTCAGGATTAGATTAGAAAATTTAGTCATGCTTACCACATGGCTCCCTTGGCCAGGTGCTGACAGCAGCTGGCGGCTAGGACTGATGGGGCAGTCATGAAACCAGGAGTCCGGTCAAAGCCCTGACCTTGACTTTCTACTGTGGAATTGTGGGCCAGGCTCTTCACTTCCCTGGGTTTGAGTGTTTCTGTTTGTAGTAGGGAAGTTATCAAACCTTCAATTCCTCTAAGTATGTTCATGAGGGAGAATAAGTTTAAGATGGAGAAAGTGAGTTAAACCTTGTTTAAAGAAGGTAGGAGAGAATTTCAGGATTAAAACAGCTTTCCATTATAAGCCAAGGGATATGTTACATTGTCTCTGAAATTAATCAGCTTGAACTATCTACTATTCAAATTAAGGTGCTAGTGGTTTTGTTTTGTAACAGGCAGGACAGAATGTTCCTAATTTTGTCAACGTGGCAGTTTGAAATAGGAAGTGTGTTTTAGTTTTGTATTCTGGAAAATGAGAAGCCCAGAGGTGGGAGGTGTGGAGCCTTGAATCCTTAGAGATCCCGGTTTTTTGTTGTTGTTTTTTTGTTTTGTTTTTTTTTTTTGCTCTTAGTGTTCTCTGCCCAGTTAGGTAAACATGTAGCATCTGGTCCCCTGTTCAACTTTAGAGCAGCTCCCAAGCATCAGTTCATTTTTAGCTTTAGGGAGGGTAAGAGGACCTTTGGGGGAAGTGCCTAATGGGCTGGAAGTTGTGGACAAAGCAGGTCCAGAAGTGCAAGTAATGAGGCAAATCATGGGGGATTGAGCAGAGCGTGGTGGTGAGCTGGAGAAAGTGAAGACTCAGGAGGATTTTACTACTGAGAGGCGAGGCAGTTGTACCCAGGCAGACCTGTCAGGAGTCAGAGATCAGGGATTCATATCAGCTGAGGCTGCAGGGTGGCATTTGCCTGCCTGTGTGCTCCCTATTTGGACACAGATGAAAATCACTTCCGTTGCTCCTTGCCTGCTTTGGAGGAGTCCCTGCCCAGGCCCAGGAATTGTCCATGTGCACAGTGGGTAAAGGACTAAAGGTCAAGTCCTCTGACCCTGAGTCGGGGCATCCACTCCCCCCTCACCACTTGGGGCCACTCTGGTTTCTGGGTACTTCTTACCCAACACCCCTAGGAAACTCTCTTCCTTCTGAGGTCTGTTCTCTACCCAGGCCCTTCTGCCCACTTCTCCAGTGAAAGCTGTTGAGGATGACTTTACTGTGCGACCACCTAAGTTTTACCCAGCTGTTTCTCAGCCTTACAGTCCACCTTGTCTCAAGACAGAGAAGCAGCAGTACCCGGCAGGGCACCTTCCGGAAGGCAGTGCCAGGAAGTGGAAAGCAAGACGATTCTTTCCCTTTCTCATCCCTGCGTGGGGCCTCCCCTCACAAGAGTCCTGAGTCGTCCTGCCCAACCTCGGTTGGTCCGGGCCCCAGGGAAGTGGCGGGCAGCAGTGGAGGCCCCTCTCCCACCACTCGTCTGTGGCAGGATGGGCAGGGAGGAGCCCGGCCCTGTGAGCAGGCTGCGGAGGAAGCACAAGCTCCGGATTCTAGTGCTAGCTCTTCCATGACCCATCCTGCATCCTTAGGCGAGTCACCTGACCTTTGACCATCTAGTTTTCCCCACCTGTCCCCTGAGCCCTATCTCTGTACATGAGGATTCCTGAACTAAGTTTCCTCAGGAACCATAGACCAGTGACTGTTCTTGCTTCTGGATTTCTTGCTTTTACGCAGCTGTTGAGGCCAGCTGGCCACGCTGCCCTTGCAGGCTAGCTTTACCATGAAGCTTCCTGAGGGGTCTTGTCAGAACTTGTGTCAAGTAGGCTTTGCCACAGTCTAAATCTCACTGTGGTTTAGAAATTCAGGCTTAAGCTTGTGTCCTGAGCACAAAAGCCAAAACAGTTTGAGACCAGGCTCTTTTTACAGTGGGCAGGCTAGTTCCTGCTCATGGCTTTGAAGGGGTAGATGGGATCTTCAGAATAGAAACTGTTGGGCTTTTTGTAGGAGCCAGGCCGGCTTATCCCTGGGGAATCTCCAGGCACAAGGCGTGCCTCCACAGCCGTATCATTCTTGTGTTATTAGACATTCTTTTGTTAAGGAAGGTGCCATGGTTCTTATCTTTCTAATCCTTGCCACTTTTGTCTCTCTTTCCATCTAAGGTACCTCTGTGGAGACTTTGCACATGTGGGGAAGACATGTCTTGACTTGGGTACTTCTTGGAAATTTACATGACCTTTTAGTTCTTTTTCAGGATGTTGGCCTGATAGCACCTCTATTTGCCATCCCAGTCTTCCCCTGGCTTGGCTGAGGTGTGTAAAAATTAAATGAGGTTATGGCTATGAAGTATCGAGACCAGTGCGCGAACCTTCTGCAGCCCCTAGTCGCTCAGTTCTGTTCTCTTTCCCCTCTAGCGTGGGCATCTTACATGACCAACTCCCCAACTCTCATCGTTATGATTGGCTTGCCAGCCCGGGGCAAAACCTATGTGTCCAAGAAACTTACGCGCTACCTCAACTGGATTGGGGTGCCCACCAAAGGTAGGTGCAGGTCATTTATTCCTTGGGAAGGGAAATGATTAGTTCTTGGGCCTCCCAAGCCTCTGGAGATCTGTTCTCCTTGGCATCAAGATTACAGGCTGCTCCTGGCAGAAATAGTGGTTGATTCCTGATTTACTGGATTTATTCCCTGTTTACAGACTTGTTTCCTCTTGGCCTGCGTGGATTGGCCTAGATTTAAGGGCATGCCTTTGATGGTATAGGGCTTTACCTCTATATAGATCATCTTGTCTAATCCTAGCAGTACTCCTGTGAAATTGCCAAAGTGGCTGAGGAAATTGAAACTCAGACCGTTTAAGGCTTGTTCAAGGACTAATACGTCTGAACTTGAATCTAACTTGACTCTAAATCTGGTATTGTTCCCAACATACCATGGTGCTTTCTTTCATTTCCTTGGCAACTCTGACATTAGACCAAGAAGTCCCCTTTGGTGGGGCCATTGTATTGTTTCACTGCTGAGGGCTGTTGGTGTCATCTGCAGTGTTTAATCTTGGGGTATATCGGCGTGAAGCAGTCAAGTCCTATAAGTCCTACGACTTCTTCCGGCACGACAATGAGGAGGCCATGAAGATCCGCAAGTGAGTGTTCTTAGGCCTGACCTCCCAGTGAGCTCCTTCTCTGCCATCACAAGACTGGACGTGGCAGGGCTCGGTTTTCCTGTCAGTAAATATCCTTTGGGGATTTTAACTGGAGATTATTTGGTAGACAGGTCACGTTGGGCTTGGGTAGGTAGCAGAACAGGCTCAGGGAGAAGCATGTGTGTTTGTAGGGTAAACCTGTAGAGTGAGACTTTATATGCATGGGGCAGGGGAATGGGAAAAATACAGGATAGTCTAAAAACCTCAGTGGGGAAGTTGAAAAGTCCAGTTAGGGGAAAATTTTGACTGGGAAAACTAAGTGGGAAGGGATGTGACTCCTCTAGCAGCCCAGCTGTTCATGTCTCTGGCTGTGCCTGAGCTTGGTCTGGCACTGCTCTCACTGATGTCCTCCGTTCTCGCGGCAGACAGTGTGCTCTGGTGGCGCTGGACGATGTGAAGGCGTACCTTACTGAGGAGAGCGGGCAGATCGCGGTAAGCCTTCCCTGCCTCTTCCCCATCTTGATATCCACCCGAGAGACTGCACAGCCTCACCAGGAGTCTGCCTTGGTGGGGTTCCAGTTCTCTCTGCCCACTCATCTACTTTGCGGCCTCTCTCCCCAGGTGTTTGATGCCACCAATACGACTAGGGAGAGGAGGGACATGATTTTGAACTTTGCCAAGGAGAATTCCTTCAAGGTAGGGTTTGGCTCCCTGCTGGAGGAGAGGGATGAGTGGCGGTGGGGAGTCAGGAGGGACGTGAGAATCTCTTTGACTCTGGTGGGTGAGGAGGACAGGGTTGGCTATCCGCTTTTCTTTTCTTGGGAAATACCCCAGTCCTTGAGTGTTTTCTTTCAGGTCCTTTCTCAGCCCCTTAGCCTGTATGTCTGAGGCCCTGGGGATGTGGTAGGAGCTATTTTTAAATGAGGAGGCCTTGAAGGCCACTTAAGTGAAAAAAAATCCCGGGGGGTGTGGTGGCTGTGGTGGGGCAGGTGTGAGCACAGGCTGTTAATGAACAGCCTGGGCACTTTTGACTCATTTATCACTGCCTTCCCTCCCTGGCCAGGTATTCTTTGTGGAATCTGTCTGTGATGATCCTGATGTCATTGCTGCCAACATCCTGGTGGGTGACACCCCTGCATACCACCACCTCCCTGTCCTTTCTGCCTTGTGTTATGTGTGTGTTGGTAGGTAAGCGGGGAGAGTCAACTGGGCAATGAAAGAAAGAAATAGACACGTTTAACAATGCAGGGTGATCTTTTTGATCTGCCAGAGCACCATTTTAGACTTACACATTCTTCCCGTAGGAGAAGAAACCAAGACTCTGAGGAATAAAGTAAGAATGAGCTGTTGAATGGAAGCCAAGACTTAGACCGTAGGAGTTTTGGCCCTGTGTTCTGGGTATCAGCTGGATGCTGAGACCTAGGGATGTCCTCAGAGTAGATCAGCCTCTTCACTATCTGTCAGGGCCACCACGTAGGAACGTCATCTACCCACTCACTGTCTAACATTCAGGTCAGTGCTCTGTGCACTGTCTCATGCCCTGGATGGTCACAGTATAAACCAATGCCCATTTGATGGGTTGTACTGTGCTGTGTGGACATGGTATCATGGTAGTGCTCTCCTAGCTGTGTGGGAACTTGGAAACAACTAAGAAGAGGTATCTGGTCCAAGTCAGGCATGCGTCAGATCAAGCACCCTATACTGAGTGGTCGTACGGAGAAATTGAAGCCCATTCTGTGTTCCCAGAAGGGCACATAAAGGGATTGGGGCCCAGGAGCAGTTTGAGCTGTGTGACTGCCTCAGTCCTTCAGCCAAGGGCAGGCACATGACTCCACAGTTGTCTTTCCTTTCTTGGTTGCCAGGGTCACAGGACAGGGAGGGGGTGCTCAGTGAACGGGGATTGCCAACGCTCCAGTGAAAGAGGCCTTCTGTGGACTTCCTTCTCTTTATTTAGCATTGGCTGTTTGTAGGAGGGCTGTTAAGGACACACCTCTGACCAGGCCCTACTCTCCCTATGATTCCAGGAGGTAAAGGTGTCGAGCCCTGACTACCCTGAAAGAAACAGGGAGAATGTGATGGAGGACTTCCTAAAGAGAATTGAGTGCTACAAAGTCACCTATCGACCCCTTGACCCAGACAACTATGACAAGTAAGGTTTAAGGCCATGGTTTGAAGGGCCTGAGGCAGGGGTCTCATTTGAGAAAAGAGCCTTTCTCCCTCTGTCCTCAAACTTTCTTCTGACCATCCAGACCTATAATGTTTACATCATTCCAAAGAAACAAGGTATGGATTTGTGGCTTCTCTGTAGGTTGCACCTTACACTTGAACAGTGAAGTGTTTTTTATCATCAGTTCTTCCTCTCTGTTCTCTAAAACAAGGTTTCTCAGTCTCCGCACTGCTGACTAATTCTTTATTACAGCAGTAGGGGCTGCCCTGTGCACTGTGGGATGTTTAGCAGCATCCCTGGCCTCCACTCACTAGATACCAGTAATACTCCCAACCTACAACAAACCAAAATGTTTTCAGACATTGCCAGGTGTCCCTGGGGAGCAAAATCAAGTAGTTCTGATCTAAGGTGTTGTAGGACACCCCTCAGAGATGTGTCATCATCAGCTTTTGATGAATTTTTGAAGTTTATTGTGTGTATATATCTATTCTGTAACACACATGTATTAGTATATAAGTTTACGTATATTACACACAAAAGAGTAACATAATATAGAAATATGTTTACATAGAACATATGTACATGTACAGATACATGTGATGTATATATGATGTTATATATATAAATACATATGATACAAATACATACCAGTAAAAATGTGTAACAAACATAAATATATATAAAATGTGTATATGTATATACATACACGTGTGTGTGTGTGTGTGTGTGTGTACATATATATAAAGCATGTAAAATCCTTAAGAACATGCCTGGCTCATCAGAAATGTCTGATTGAGTGCTAGCCATTATTACTGTGGTAGTGTCTACTAGCAATATGGTATGCAATAGGGGTTAACTTGATGTGCACAAGGTAATAAGAGCCATAGTAAAAATTCCAGGCCTTTTGGAAAGATTCATGCACAATGTATTTTATCCATTTTTTTTTTCTTTTTCAAAAACTAATGATGTACTATATGTTGGCTAACTGAACATAAAGAAAAAAAAAAGAGCCATAGTAAAATGTGAAGTCCATGTTGAAGAAAGATGTGTACACACAGAAACCTGGGGAATGTGGCCATACAGTTAACGGCTGTGTTTGAATAAGATATGGCCCTGTGGCCAAGCAGATGGCAAGATAAGTCTGCGTAGCTCACTGTTCCATTGTGTTAGTGGTCTGTTTAATGTTTTGAGTCTTGAAGTTCCTTCAAGTAGATTGCCCAGAATGTTAGTATTTGGAGGTGTTCCTTAATATAGAGGTTGAAAACCACTGTTCTAGAAATGGTGTAATAGTATATTCTTCTACATAGAAGTCCTATATAGAAAAACATTCTAGAACAGTGTGTGTGTGTGTGTGTGTGTGTGTGTGTGTGTGTGTGTGTTTATAGATAGTATTTCTGATGGTAGGGTTTGGGTGATTTTTATTTGCATCATTCTACCTTTTTTTGAAAATTTTTTGGAATAAGTATTTATTTATTTTTTTTAAATTTAAATTCCAGTTAGCATTTATCATTTTTACAATGAGAAGAATTCTCTGATGAGGCAACCGCTGCAGAAGTACCTCTGAGAGAGGCTTGATTAGGTAGACGCGGGGGACATGGAGAGATCTCTAAGATTCTGCTGCCTGCTGCCCTCCCTGCGGGCCATGCCATCTCCTGGCCAGGTCTTGACCACCTCAGATGGGGATTGTGCTTCTCACCAAACTTCAGGGTTAGCAAAATTGTCAGGTCACCTAGTCTAACCCTTGAGGGAAAGCCTGGATTCTTCGTATCCTACTTATCTAAACTACATGGCACAGTACAGGCACTTGAAGAAGTGGTAGACGGGCCAGAAGTTCAGGACAGGTTACTTCATCTTGGGTCTGAGGTGCAATCCGTCTCTTACCAGTTGGTTCCTTAAAATGTGGGTTGGCTTGGACGGGAGACGAGGAAGGGCTGCCTCAAACCTGCAAGTAATTATGGGAATCCTTCCCTTCCCGCTGTTACCCTCCGATTTTCATTCCCAGGGATTCTCTTTTCTCCTGCCCTGTCCCAGGGATCTTTCTTTCATCAAGGTGATAAATGTGGGCCAGCGATTTTTAGTGAACAGAGTCCAGGACTATATCCAGAGCAAGATAGTCTACTACCTCATGAATATCCACGTGCAGCCTCGCACCATTTACCTTTGCCGGCATGGAGAGAGCGAATTCAACCTCTTGGGGAAGATTGGGGGTGACTCTGGCCTCTCGGTGCGGGGAAAACAGGTGAGGCATTCAGCAGCAGGCTGGATTTCCCAGGCTTAGAATTGGAGGAAGGGCATGGTGGAGGTCATCCCTCTTATCCCCTTACTTCTTCCTAAATCCCACTGGGGCTGAGGCTGTGGTTTCAGATAATCAAGCAAATGTGGAAGACCTCTTCTTGTCCACTGATTCTGGCTGTGTTGTAATGTGGTAACTTGGAACCACTTCTGTTAATTCAACCGTCAGGTATTTATTGGGCATGACTTGTGTGCTGAGCACAGTACAGGATGCTCCAGTGGAAGTTCATTTCCTCTTGGGTTTATCATAACTGTGTAGCACCTTTTGGATTTTGAGCATGGTCCTACACGTTGCCCTTTATAGGCCAAGTTAGCAATTGTGTGTGTGTGTGTGTGTGTCTGTATGCATGTGTGTGCACATGTTTCTCTCCTTTAAAATTTTCATCTCCAACCCCAGTTTGCCCAGGCTCTAAGGAAGTTCCTGGAGGAACAGGAGATAGCAGACCTCAAAGTGTGGACGAGCCAGCTAAAGAGGACTATCCAGACTGCTGAATCCCTGGGTGTGACCTATGAGCAGTGGAAGATTCTGAATGAGATCGATGCTGTGAGTAGGAATTCTGATGGCTGCAAAGCCAATAAGAGTCTCTTATTCAGGCAGGAGCTCTCAAGTCACCATATGGGCAGTTTTATCTAGAAAAGTAGAACTACCAGGTAGTAGTAGTAGTAGGGGAGGAAGAGGGGACAATTGCACCCTAGTCAGGGCTTCCTGCCTGTTTGAGCACTTGTGCCAGTCACGGGCCTAGACCAATCTGTGACCTAGCCCCTCTGGCATCTGGGGAGAGCACGGCTCCATTTTGTTCCTTTGTGTATTTTTCTGCTGGGGAAAAGAAAGAACTAACAACTCCCTTCTTTAATTTCTGCTTAGATCACTTGGTCCTTTCCAAATTTTTTTCTTGGCTTTCTCTGTCCTTGAGCACAAAAGCAGACATTTCTTTTTCTTTTCTTCCTCTGTACCTTTTTATGCCTTCTGCAAGAATTCTCTGGTCCCTTCAGTTTCTCCTCCCCTGCTTCCTGTTCCCTTTATCCTGCTGACTTTTCTTGGACCTTTAACTTCTCTGAAGTAGTCGGAGCAAGTAGTCAGAGCAAGTAGTCGGAGCAAGCTGAGAAGCCGCATCCTCTGCGCAGTGGCCCTCCCCCTGCCAGTCCCAGCCGCCCGGGCGGGTGGGTGGCAGTACAGGCCAGGACCCAGCACAGTGCCTGGCACATAGTAAGAAGCCAGGATTCCTTAGTAGCGCCCCCCTTGTTTGGGGGGAGCCGCATGGGGTGGCCTCCCTCCTGCAGCCGGTGTGGCTCCCTGCAGGGCGTGTGTGAGGAGATGACCTATGCGCAGATTGAGAAGCAGTACCCGGATGAGTTCGCACTTCGAGATCAAGAGAAATACTTGTATCGGTACCCTGGTGGGGAGGTGAGATTTCCCCTCACGTGGTGTGACTGTCCAGCCCTCCGTTGGGGGTTTAGCTTTAATTAGGGGGAAGGAGTGAATGGGATGTGGAAGGTCTAGAAAGGGTAGTCAAGGCATTATGTAGTTTTGTCCTCCAACTTTGGGTCCTAGTGTGTTTAATTCAGCTTAGACCATCGAACATCTCATTAAGATCTACAGGGAAAAGGGTGACAGGATGTCTTGTGTGTTAATTAATTGTAGAATCAGCATTTTCTTTTTTACTTCTTTTTTTCGTTCCACTTCCTCAGTCCCACCCCGACCCAAGCAGGTATAGGCCCCGAGTCAATATATGGGGTATGAATGATTTCCCTGTCATCTCGCATGTTTGAGGCTGTTCGCTGGCCCGAGGGCCTTCGTAGTCTAGAGCCCTGGGAGGCCCAGGTAACTAAAACCAACGGCGGAGGTCCAGGAAAGCCCTCAGAGCCTCACGTGCTGCCTGTTCGTCTGTGGGAAGGAAAAAAGACCCAGGCTGAATTCACATTTCCTCTTTTTGACCTGTAGTTTTCTTGATCTGAATGTTGCTCTTGAAAGGTCTGAGGATTCTCAAGAGATCACAGGGCTGGGGGTAGTTAGCAGGCGACATGAAGTCGCTGAACCTCCAGGAGGAAAGCCAGCTGGGGAAGAAGGAGAAGTGGCCTCCTGACTCTGGAGCCAGCCACCGACTTGGCTGCTAGCCTGTGCCTGGCCTCCCACCAGTCTGCCTCACTTCCCCCACAGTCGTACCAGGACCTGGTGCAGCGGCTGGAGCCCGTCATCATGGAGCTGGAGCGGCAGGGCAACGTCCTCGTCATCTCCCACCAGGCTGTCATGCGCTGCCTGCTGGCCTACTTCTTGGATAAGGGTGCAGGTGACATTTGAGGGAAGGGCCAGGGGACACATTCATGGCGAGGGGGTTGGACTCAGGGTGGTGCCAGGATCCCAGGCAACAGAACCTGCCCCTCTTCCACTCAAACTGGAGTGCATTCTTCCGACAGCAGTGTGGGGCTCCCAGCAGCCACTGGGCCAGCTACTAGCTGAAGTTGCTCCTCTGGTACCAAAGCCCCCATTGGAGAGTGGCCACTGCTGGAGCTCCTTAATCCTGCTTGGCTAGAGGGCCAGTGTCTAGCTGACCCTCCTGGCAGAATCAGAAAAATGGTTTTGCACATTCCCGGCTTGTTATTTGGCTACAAGGAGGGTGGTGTCTTAGAAGCATCTTCATCCTTTGGATACATCATAGGACAGTTTCTGGGTAAAGCCATAAGGAAGTTGCTGACTTTTCTGACCCTTCCCTTCCCTCCCCCTTCCCTTTCCCCTCCTCCTCCCTCTCCCCCTCCCCTCCCCGCCCCTCCTCTCCCCTTCGTCTATCTGAGCTGCTGGGCAGCCTGCAGATTGGCCTTTGGTACTCCCACATGGGCCACAATCTTCCCTTCCACCGGGTCCTGCTCACTTCTGTTTTGCCTTCATGGAAGGATCTAAAATGGACTGCTTTCCTTCCTTAGCCTCTCAGTAGCTTGGGCAGCTTCTTTAGTGGCTGTCCCGATAATTCCCTGGGGTTTAGGGGAGGAATTGTACAACTCTAGGTCAGGGTGAAGAGAACTCATGAGCTCCTTAGATTCTCCCACTTACTTGACCTTAATCCATAGTACTAAAAGACTTCTCTCACCTGGTCTTTCTGTTTTCAGATGAGCTACCATACTTGAGGTGCCCCCTCCATACCATCTTCAAACTTACTCCTGTGGCCTACGGTAACTATGGGCTTAGCAGTGGGCAGGATGTGGGAATTGAAGAAAGTCAGGCTATTTGAATTTTCTCTGAAGTTTGTCTAGAAGTTCAACTTTATCACCCCTGTATACCAGGGAAATTCCTTTAGTGCTTTCCATTTTTAAAAGGATGTATGGGGGCGCCTGGGTGGCTCAGTCAGTTAAGTGTCTGCCTTTGGCTAAGGTCATGATCTCAGCGTCCTGGGATCGAATCCCTCTCCCTCTGCCTCTCGCCTTGGTCATGCTCTGCATCTCTCTCTCTCTTTCTCTAATGCATGAATAAAATCTTATAAAAAAAGGATGTGTATATTTGGGAATATATACATTTTTTTATGGTATGTTTCCCATACTGAATCTAAGGAATTTTTCTTGGAGCTTTTTTCCTGAAGGCCTTTTTCTCTTTCCTCTGTTTCCTCAGGATGTAAAGTGGAAACAATTAAACTCAACGTGGAGGCTGTGAACACTCACCGTGACAAGCCAACCGTAAGTATTTTCCCACAGATGAACATGCAGGCTCCCTGCCACCTTGAGTCTTTGAACCTTTGACATCATGAGACTCAGGTTTTGTTTATGTACAAAAGGGAAACACATCCAGAACTCATGTCCTATGTAGTCTGCTTACTTCCAAAAGGAAGAAATGTTGGAATTATTACTTTTTAAAATTAGTACCCCTTTCATGAGTCCTAACCTTGAAAGTTGGCTCCTAGAAATCCAGTTAAATATGGGAAGTGTTTGGCCGAAGTCAAATACAGATTTTTTTTTTCCCCCAGGGAGTGCTCCCTTTAGAAAGTAGGACCCAGAAGAGCCTATAAGGTGGGGTCAAGCAGTATAGGGTTTGTTCCTAGGTCTGTCCTGATAATCTGTGTGATCTTAAATAAGCCCCTTCCTTTCGTGGGCCCTCCTTCCTCCTTTGGCGTATGATGCTCAAGGAGCTTCTCCTTCTACAACCCTTTAGCTTCCTGGGACTAGGGCTAAGGCCGTGGCTCCATGTCTTATGAGAGACTCTATCTGCAGAGGAGCAGGACTGGAGGAAACGGTTGTGGTTACAAGCATTATTTAACCTTTATGAGTGAGCTTTTGGCTTGGCTTTCATTTGTGTGGTGTCCCTCCATTTCCAATCAGAACAACTTCCCCAAGAACCAAACCCCTGTAAGGATGAGAAGGAACAGCTTTACGCCTCTGTCCAGTTCGAATACAATAAGGCGTCCAAGAAATTACAGTGTTGGGAGCCGGCCCCTCAAGCCCCTCAGCCCTCTCCGTGCCCTGGACACGCAAGAAGGGGCCGACCAGCCGAAGACCCAAGTCAGCATTCCGGTGGTGTAACCGTGTGTCCCCTCCAGGCTTGGCCTCCTGCCCTTGTCTCTAAGCACCAAGGAGTCATTTAACTTCCAGCCCCCACCCCCAGCACCCCACCATGGACTTTAACACAGAACGTGAGCTCATGTGTTTCCAGACCAATCTTAGCTGTTCTCCAGTGTGAAGCATCTCCCCGCCCAGGGGCAATTTGACCAGTGGGTGTTTTAGGACATGTCCTCAGTTGGGGTGGTCTGGAGGTGGAGGGATACACTCCCCTGGGTGCTTAGCATAGCTGGGTCTGAGGTTAAGCCTGCTCCATAGCCTTGGTTCTTGTCCCTGGTGTCTAAACTCCTCATGTCCTTGTGTTGGTAAAGGTGGGGGTGGGGCGGAGGGGGAGACAGAAGCCCATTTTTCCTTCACCTTTGTCTCTTCAAGGTGTGCTTTACTCACAGTCCTTACTTGCCTGCTTTGTCACCCCCTTGCTCACCTCCCCTTTGGATTCTCTGGTGTGATGCATGGCATTGTCACTGTGTCTGTTGAGGAGGGAAGGGGTAGTTGGCGAGAGAGAAGTCTAGGCTCTATTGATGCTCTCTGCAGGGGGCCTCAATGGATCCGGACTGGGGGAGCTTTTTTTTTCTCCCCCCTCTCCTTTCCTCTCAAGCCAGGTCCTGAAAGGGTCAGTCCAGGCTGCAGAACATCCACAGATGCTCTGGAGCCCGCAAGTGGACATAGGGTGAGAGTTCGTGCCTCCTTTCATGAGAGCCAGTCCTAAGTCTTTGAGGCTCTGGGGGAGTTGGTTCTGAGTATGTGTGAAATATCTTGGTTGGTATTTTTCACTTCAGGAGCCAGGCATGGGTCTTTTTGGCTGTGGAATGAGGTTTAGGAGAATAGGACATTTTCTAGGTCTTGCAGGGCTCTTCTAGGCCAGTCATGTCTTTTTTTCAGTGGCTCCCAGCTTTGCCAACCACAGCAACTTTCCTGCCGAGGCCAGTGACCTCTGGGGCTGTTTAGAAGGACAGAGTTAGATTAAAGAGTCACCGCTGAAACTGGAACTGCTCAAGGCAGACAGACGGCAGAGAAGAGTTCACTAGAGCTTTTTATTTTCCTGTAATTTTCAATACACTCTCCTCTTTACGTTAAAAAATTTTGCATGAGCAATGCTTCCCCCCACTCCCCCAAATGTGGAAAGGCCTGGCCATGAATTTAATCTCCCTCACTGGTGTATTCTTTTATCTCATCTTGGTTTCCAGGAGTCTTTGGGACCTTGAGGGGTCTAGCTCTTATCTGGAATTGCCTATTCACTTTTGTCATTTCATTTTCTCTAGGGTTAAACAGGAAACGTTTAGAGCAGGGGATTCTTAGCTCCTTGGTGGCCCCTCCAATTCGGTATATAAAACATGAATATATGTGCAGTTTTCTGAGAGAGAAGTCAGATTTCTCATGAGATTTTTAAAAGTGATGGAATGCATCCACACCTTAAAGTTATCAATTGTCTTTTAGAGGAAACCAGTGAGAGCAAGTGACCTATTTGCCAAGGGTCTTTTTGTTTGGTAATAGAAGACCTTTTGTCATGGTTCTCATCTAGGAGCATTCATTACAATCCTCTTTAGAATTTTTGAAACACATACGTGCCCCAGTCCACATTAGGCTTAATACTAACTCAGAATCTCTGGGGTTGGGGTCTGGGCATGTATGCGTTGAAATAACTTCCCTGAAGATTCTGATTCATATTCAGGGTTAGAGCTCCATTTCAGTTGTGGGGAGAAATACTGGAGTACTTCCTCAGATAGAGCGTCAACCTAAGAATTCTGAATTCTTTTTGGCTCTGAAAGGACGATTCTCTGGAGTTAGACGTGTGAGCAGATCACAGTATTACACTAAGTAATACACTAAGTATTATACTAAGTGACCCCCTTGAAGGCGGGCTGCTGTGTTTTAGAGCGTTACTCTGGGTTCTAGTCCCATCTTTAACCCTTTACACTGCAAGGTGTTGTGGAAAAAAGCACTGTGTGAATAAGTGTCCTCTGGTAATAGCTGGGAATTTTCAGCACTCTGGATAAAGGCACAGAGGTAAAACCTGTAGGATGATAAAGGTTATCATCATAGGCAGCTGCCTTGTGACCTTGAGTCCTTTATTTTTGAATCTGAGTAGAGTAGGACATCACAGTGTTTCCAAAGGCTGCTTGCCTAGCTTCTGCTCCTCAGTGTGTCTAACCTGCTATTCCTGTTTTGCCATTGCATTCTGTGTACATGGTGTCTTTGCGGGGCTTCGGGCTGGGTCGGGGGGCTGATGGTGATAAGGTGCACAGAAGTGGAAGAAAAGGTCCTTGCCCTGAAGAAGGCTATTTTAGAGACAGGGTATATAGTTTATAATAAATGAACATTTGCAAAAGAGCAACACATTGAGTCTGTAAGTGTGGACACTGAAGGGGAGTTCAGATTCCTTCTGACTTTTCTCTTGTCCTTTGAGACTAAAGGGGGTAGCAGGTGAGAGTCCTTCCCCTCCAGGTGAGAATGAGATGTGGTCTAGGTGGTGTGGGGGGCACTTTTACAAGGTGGCTTCATCTAACCTTACTTGGCCGGCAGCATCCTTAGCCCAAATGATTATTCATTCAGTTTGTTTTTTTTTTCCTGCTGTGCAATAAGAATAATTCAGAGCTAACGAATGACAAGCAGGAGCATTTTGATTCAAAGACTTTGGATTTGGGTTGTGCATACTCTCAGTGAGAGGAGGATTCTCTAACACACGAGCATTGTGTTACCCTGTTATAAACCCCAGCATGAGCCACAGGTCACCGGGATGTTCACTGTGGCCCTCAGCCTACTTCTTATTTCTCCAGTCTCCCCCGTGCTAGTTTGCTTCCCCCAAAAGAGGAGCCTGAGGTGGTCTTTTTAGTGTCAGGGGGACACAAGAAATTAAACTTCACTGTAGCAAGGCTTTCGGCATCCTTCAGTTTTTAGAGCAAGATCCCTCCAGAGAAGTTTCTGCAGGAAGAAGCCAGGAGAATACAGAATGGCATAGAGCTCTTACTCCAAATTTTAGAGAAGTTCCACTTCCTATCTTTTCTGTCCTTCTCTTCCTTTTTTACCGGAATGTGTATTGGTAGTATCTGCACATTGCTATAGTTATGTCTAGGTCATAGATTCTACAAAGAAAGGATGGATTCCGGAGCACCTTTTGCTGAGGCTTTTGGTTTCGTTGTGGGAGAAATAGGTGAAGGCTTTAGCATTTAATCTATTAAATTATTTAATCTAGTAAACGGAGAAAGGAAAATCCCTGTATATTTCATTTTCTTGCTTGGAAGCTGAATGATGAATTTTGTAACAGACTTGAAAGAGGAATCCGAAGCAGATTTAGAGAACTAGCTTCTCTTGTCTCGTAATCCTCAAATTAGAATTTAGTTCTTATTAATCTGTATTGTCTTTGGTTTTTGTTTTGATAAGGGGATTGTTTTACATTCAGCTGCAAAGTAGAATTAGAAAATCTTAAAAACATGCATTGTGTAGGGGGTTTGCCCTATCTTATTGTCTCAGGGTTTTTTTGTTTGTTTCTCCCCCAAGAAGTTAGAATTAAGAATATACAGCGTGTCTATATTCCCAAGCTGAATGGACGAGTGTTTCCTGTGAGGTTCTGGGTGTTCCTCTTTGCAATCCACAAATGGATCTGCAGAGGCACCGGCATTCTCAAGAAACATGACATAACTTTGGAAATAAATCCCATCTTCCGGTTTTTCTGTGAGTAGGAGATGTGGGTTCTGGAGAAACTCACTGGTGCTTGGGGTAGCCGAAGGACAGGGGGAAGAATGTCTAATGATTGAGAGAACTATATCTGGGTTATACAGTCTTAACGGACATTCCATTGTTTTTGCCAAGTTCAGAAGCCATGTTGTGTTTGTTTTCAAGAAATTTGGTCAATTTACCCAGGTTTTCTAAGATGTATTTTGACTTGGTCATGTTTTAAAATATTTCAATTTAAAAAATATCTAACAGTTGAGCCACAACAGGTTGTGACATTGGCAGGATGGATCTCTGACTTCCCAGAGAGGTGATAAAGTCATCAGAAGTATGTCCAGGAATTTAATTTGGATGCATAGTGTCCAGAAGACTGTATCTAGTAGTATCCATATGCTTACTGACTGGCAGACCCTGATAGAATCTGTATGCTGACTGACTGACCGACTGACATACTCCATTAGGGTTTTATAATCTGACCGTCTGTTTTCTAATTGTACCAGTTAGTAGTATATGCATATTACTGTGATTTTGTGTCCGTTGCATGTGTCCTACAAAGAAAGGAAGTAAACACTTTACCTTTTTTTTCAGGGGGAAGTTCTGTACCTATGATTTTTAATAGACATTTCTTTTAGAGGAGCAGTCAAAAATCTCATCATTTTGTAGAAAATGAAGGTTGAACATCACTTTTGTATGTTATTTTGTGAACTCAGTGAAGGAAGTACCTTCTCAAAGCCTGAAATTATTACCTCTACCTGCGTGCATTCCACCCACTCTCCCACTTCTAGGCAGGACTTCCCTTTTACCGTCTGCTTCTGAACCTTCTGTGTCCTCAGCTTCCCGGTCACAGGATATAGCAGCGGATAATGCTGTTGTTGCATTTGGCTCTTATTCAAATCTAATAAATAAAAATGCAAAGGAAGTTTTGCATTTAAAAATTGATCTTAAGAGTTGGCAAAGGTATGCTTTCCAGTCAGCCTTTCACTGGGGATCTAGGTAGGACCAATCTTTACCAACTCAATGTTTTTGTACCTGAACTGCTTGTGTACATTTTTTTTATTGTGTTTAAATAACAAAATCCGTTCGTTCTGATATGGTGATGGTTTTACTGTGGCAAAAGCAAAGGACTGATCACCAGCTGTGCCCCTGGAGGGGGTTGGAAATGGTTGAAGGGAATGGACTGAATTGGGAACTCATGTATAGAGTTATCCTGCGGATTTCCTAGGCACAGCTCTGGTGAAAAAGGAATGTGAGTCCTTACCAGCATTCTGACTTAATCTGGTGACATTGATATCAAAATATGCCACTCAGATCCACATAAGGTGTGTATAACTATATTTGAAATGTGCTTTTGTGTGTGTGTGTGTGTTTGTGTGTAGAATGGGTAAATAAAATTGTTGAGTAACTTGAACCTATGAG